GATTGGTTAAGCGACCTTCCCAGAATGTCCTATGGAGAAGTCAGGGCCACCCTGGGCCGCTGCAGCTGTCCGAGGTGAAATTGAAGCATTGTATTCTGCGTAATTTAGTATTTGGATTAGGATAAGCGAGTTTACCTTTATCACCAATTTCCACTCATTTTCTGAAAACATTTTCCTTTAGAAGTGTGAAACTTCTGATTTTCCTTCTTCCAAAGTTGTACCTCTTCAGACATCTCTAAGATGATTGGCCTACAACCCAAACTTGTGTACGTGGGGAAAAAAAAAAATTCAGACTTTTTTCCAGCAACTAAATAAGAGATTTTTAAATCAGATTGGTCTATGAATAACTACAAACAAAATATGATTCAGATTAATTTTCTCTGATTACTTTTTAATTTTATATTTTTTCTGCTGACAAAAGTGCATGCTTATTGTAAAATATTAAAGAGTTACAGGTACATATAATGACAGAAAATTAAATGCACATTTTAGTACATGTATAAATACTTGTTAATTCGCCTTTTTCTCTTTAAGGTCTGCAAACTATTTTATGATATGGAAAAACTGTAATGTATTTAACCAGTTCTGGGTTGGTGGATATTTGATTTGCTTGGACTTTTTCACTATTCGGTACAATATTGCAATGAACAAGATTTTTACTAGATCTTACACCTTTAAACATCAAATTGTGAGGAATTGGAATAGAGGCTCTTTGTTGAAAATGTATAAGCACATAGAATACAAAACAACAAGTAAAATAATTATTAACACCAGGGAAATAAAAAATAAGAAAAAGTGTGAAAGGAAAAGTTGTGAATCATAGTTGTGAATGGGATTTACATAGTCTTAATTACATGAACACTGAGTACTGACTGACCAAAATGAGAGGTTTTTTTTTTGTTTTTTGTTTTTTTTTTTTATTTTAAAAAGATGACCGGTAAGGGGATCTTAACCCTTGACTTGGTGTTGTCAGCACCACGCTCACCCAGAGAGCGAACCGGCCATCCCTATGTGGGATCCGACCCCGGGGCCTTGGTGTTATCAGCACCGCACTCTCCTGAGTGAGCCACGGGCCGGCCCCAAAATGAGAGTTTAACTCTCATTATTATAGGGAGGATGAGAAAAGTGTGTGTGTGGTGGGGACCAGTTTGGGGGGCGGGGAAGCTAAATCTTCATCTTTCCGTGTAGGAAGGAGAGAATGCCTAAAACTGAGAAATTGAGAAGTGCCCATGATGGGGGCCGGCCCGGTGGCGCACTGCTACAGTGCGCCGCTTGAGAAGCGCGGCGGCACTCCCGCTGAGGGTTCGGATCCCACATACAGACCGGCCGCTCACTGGCTGAGCGAGGAGCGGGGGCAACACCGAGGGTTGCGATCCCGTTGCCGGTCCCGGTCCGGTACGGGGGCGACACTGAGGGTTGCGATCCGTTGCCGGACACGGAAAAAGACAAAAAGGAAAAAAAAAAAAAAAAAGAATTTCTGTAAGTGCCTGTATTATGCACTTATTACTGATATTACAGAAAATTAATTATGTATATTTGCTGACATCATTGCTATGGACAGACACTGTGGCTGAGTCAGGATTTACAGAACTGTTTTGGTACAGAAACAGAAGACAAGGTGAATAGACTGTTTATGTTCAAAATCATCAGAACACCATCTCCCAGGTGCCAGAAACAACTGAAAGAGAGAAGTGCCCATGACAATGTTATTTATTTGTTGTTGTTTTTTGTTTTGATGTCTGACTAGTACAGGGATCCAAATCCTTGACCTTGGTGTTATAACACTACACTCTAACCAACAGAGCTAACCAGCCAGCCCCCCGAAAATGTTATTTAAAGACCTAGAGTTACATTTCTAAATAATCAGGCAAATAAGATAAAAATATTTGCCATGGAAGTTGCATGTTTTTTCTAATATCATTGAACTCTTTATTTTTTAAATGATCAAGTCTTTTAAATTGATTTTAAAAATAGAACTGGAATAGGAGACACATTTCTTTCAGTTGTTTCTCACTAATCATTATATGTTGCCCATTTTATGCTTATTTATGATTGTAATGCCTTTGGAGAAGAATGACTAGATGACAGGCCAGTGTCAAGGCAGACTTTTCACTGTGTAGCCAGCACTGTACTTCCTGTATTCCACATTTGTGTATTTCCTTTCCACAATTAAAAACAAGTTTATTTTTTATTCAAAACACAAAAAATTAACTTGTTAATTTTACTTTAGATTAGCATTCTGCTATGTGTTAAATATGTCCTCCAAAAGTTTATGTATTGAAAACTTGACCCCCATTGTAACAGTGTTAAGAAGGTGGGAAATCCCATTACAGTATTTGAAAGGTGAGGCCTTTGAGAGGTGATCAGATCCTGGGGACTGTGCCATTTAAAGAGTCATAAGTCATCATGGGCATGATTCTGATAGCTTTATAAGGAGAGCGAGTGAGAAGATTAGCTCTCTTGCTTATGCCGTTTCTCACCATGTGATACTCTGCATTGCCACCCAAAAGAAGGCCTTCACCACATGTGCCCCCTAGGCTGCGGACTTCTCAGCCTCCAAAACTGTAAGAAGTAAATTTTGTTTCTTTATAAATTACCCACTTTCAGGGGCCGGCCCGGTGGCTCACTGCTACAGTGCGCCGCTTGGGAGTGTGGTGGCGCTCCCGCCGAGGGTTCGGATCCCACATACAGACCGGTTCCCGCTCACTGGCTGAGCGAGGTGTGGGCGCAGCACCGAGGGTTGCGATCCCCGTTGCCGGTCCGGTCCAGTATGGGCGTGACACTGAGGGTTGCAATCCGTTGCCAGACACGAAAAAAGACAAAAATAAATAAATAAATAAATAACCCACTTTCAGGTATTGTCATAAGCAACAGAAAAAGGAGTAATACACATTCTGTGTGTGAATTTTTTTTTTCCTTCTTACTATGAAACTGTGAGCCTATTGAATTTTTGGTAGGAGTTTTTTTCTTTACATTTGTGTATTCCTCTCCATCATACACTTCTGGTTATTGGAGTCTAAAGAAGTAATCATGAAGAAGAGGATATAGCATTAGGTTTCATTCCTTCTTGTTACTTGTTCATTCACTACAACTGGTTATCTGCCTTGATGGACTGCTAGTTATCCTTTTATCTCTGTAACCAGAAACCACTCCTTGGAGAGCACTGCCCATGGTCACCCTCTGCTTCTGCTGTGTGGGTTCCAATTTTAAATCTACAGAGCCAAGACTTCCTCTTGCTTTTATGGTGCTCAGACCATTCATTCTTTTTAATACTGGATAATTTTTTTTTTTTTTTTTAAAGATGACTGGTAAGGGCCGGCCCGGTGGCGCACTCAGTAGAGTGCGGCGCTTGGGAGCGCGGCGGCACTCCTGCTGAGAGTTTGGATCACATATAGAGACTGGTCCGCTCACTGGTTGAGCACAGTGCGGGAGCGACACCGAGGGTTGCGATCCCGTTGCCGGTCACGAAAAAAGACAAAAAGGAAAAAAAAAA